CTGGGGGAGGAGGGGGGAAGGAGGGCAAGTAAGGGGGAAAGGTGATGAAAACATACGGGAACCAGTTAGTGACGGTTGCACACCACTGTGAATGCACTTGGTGCTACTGGGTTGTACACCTTTGAATGGTTAATGGTTAATTTCACGTTAAGCGAATTTTTACTGATACTTCCTTAAATTTCTTCATGGCTCAGAATATGCGGCAGTTGCCAGTCCTGGCTTGGGTGAAATTCGCTGCCAGGTGGGGGTGGAGCTACAGGACGTGCTGGATCCTGCTCCTTCCCACTCCTTTGGATCATCTCTGAGCTCTGTTCCCAAGACCCCAGTTCACCCCAAACCAGGTTTCTTCCAGGTGTCTGGGGAAGGGGAGGAACTACAGAAGGGGCCCCAGGGTGGCACTGCCTTGGGCAGGCTCTGGGAACAGCACGGCTGTCCATCAAGCCTCACATCTGCAGGTCCAGGTGGCATCGAGCGCTTCACCCCCCCACCCCCGCCCACCCGAGGGTCAGATCTGTGCTTGTGTCCTGTTGAATCACCCCTTGGAATCTTCTGATTCTGTCTCCCCTGCTTCTCTACCACCACTGTGACCACCCTAGTCCAAGTCTCCGTTGTCTCTTGCCTGGACCCCTGCCACAGCCTCCGCTGCTCTCCCCAAGTCCACTCCGGACCCCTCCTCCCCACCCCAACTCATTTTCCAACATTCTAACCAGAGTGAGTTTTGAAAATGCAAATCTCTTCATACCCACCCTTGTCCCAAAAACTTGGAAAGGCTTCGAGTTATCTTAGGACAAAGACAAAACTTGTCCCTTGGCAAGTTTTGACAGGGACCTCCACATCCCACATCCTAAGTACCTTTCCTGCCACAGCTCGCAAGCTTCCTCCTCGAAACAATAGCCCTGCCATGCTATGGTTACGAGTGTTGCTTAACCTCTCTGAAATTCACATCCTGCACAATGCAAAGGGATTATAATCATGTGCCTGGCCTAGGTGAGGTAACTCAACACATAGTAATATGCCCGTTTCCTGGGACAGACCCTCCGCTAAACCCTTAACAAACTCCGCTTCCTTGAATCCTCCCAATGTGCCTGTGAGCTGTCGGTTTGAAACGCCATTTCCCAGAGGAGGCGGCTGACTTGCCGCAGGAGAGCGAGGACTCCAAGCCCAGGTTGAGCCTGCTCCAACAGCCCTGCTCTGTGGAGTTTATACTCTCTCTAGGCTTTTCCTGGATGACTGAGGGCTTCATAAATAACTTACTTTTCTCCCTGATGGGTGCATCTTCAGGAACAGGATGCTTCTAAGGATGCCAGGGTGTGCCTGAAGTGGGCCCTGCACGGTTTCAAACGAGGGAGATATTTGCAAACGCCTGGCACATGTGCATCCACATGGGCCCCCATCTCTGGGGCCATCCAGGCCACCATGCACCTCCCTCTGTTTCTATAAAGCTCCCATCAATGTGTCTTCAGCCTAGTTAACTCTGGGAACTTGGATTGGACTCTTTCTATTTTATTTATTTATTTATTTTTGGTTAAGACACTTGTAGGATCTTAGTTTCCCAAACAGAGATTGAACCCTGGGCCCTGGGAGTGAAAGTTCAGAGTCCTAACCACTGGGCAGCCAGGGGTTCCCTGGATCAGATTCTAGTAAGGCTTGATGGCAAGGAGAAGGGTCCCCTGTGGTAGGGAAGTGAATTTCACTGGGAGGCCGTGGTCTTTGCTGATTTCTAGCTATTTGATTTTTTTTTAAAACCATGGGGAATCAGTTAGGTGTCAATACTGCACACCTTCACTTGTCTCAGTTCCTGGGCAGCAAGTGAAAACGAAAGTGAAAGTAGCTCAGCTCTGTCCGACTCTTTGCAACCCCAAGGACCACACAGTCCAAGGAATTCTCCAGGCCAGAATACTGGAATGGGTAGCCTTTCCCTTCTCCAGGGGATCTTCCCAACCCAGGAATCAAACCCAGGTCTCCCACATTGCAAATGGATTCTTTACCAGCTGAGGCACAAGGGAAGCCCAAGAATACTGGAGTGGGTAGCCTATCCCCTCTCCAGGGAATCTTCCTGAACCAGGAATCAAACTAGTGTCTGCCTGCATTGCAGGCAGATTCTTTACCAACTGAGCTATCAGGAAAGCCCAAATAAAAGTAAATAAAACAGAAACATCAGAAACAGAAAAGAGAAGTCTAGCACTCCAGCCTAAGGACAATTACTGTTTTGTTCCGCTTAAAAGTGACTCAGGATGACGGAGCAGTGGCCTGGAAAGGAAGGAGCAGGCAAGCCCACACCTGAAAGGGGGCTGCAGACGCGGACCTGGTGATATTTTAAAATAGTGTGAAAAATATCACCTTACATTCATCTGCTTTCTAGTCAGATATGCATGTATCCTTGCAAGAATTTTAGAGTTAAGTGTTCAGACTGGTTGTGACTGAGGAAGAGGTGGGGACAGAAAGCACAGCTCTCTCGGGATTTTTGTGGTTGGCTTCAGAAACCCTTTCCCCACTATGAGCAGACCCTGGACTCCAGATTCAAGTGCTTTGGATTCAGGGCCCCACTTTCATCTTTTTTTTTTTTTTTTTGCAGAGCAACTTTCCAATCTCTTTGGACTCTTCCTCACCTCTGAATAGGACAGATCTCATTTCAATACCATGATCTTCCCTGCTCTAACCTTCTTTGGACTTTCTCGAGGGAACTTTTCCTGCAGAGGAATCTGGTGACCAGTCTCAGAAGAACCCTGTGGGCTAATTCTGGAAGAGCCCCAACAAGGTTACCCAAGGCCCCACGGATGGTTACTGCCTTGAGTAGTGTTTTATTATTGGCAAAAGAGAGCTGGGCAGGAAACTCACAGTAAATCGTTTCTTTTCTGAAAGAAAATAGCTCCACCATTTCATGTTTGGAGGATTCAAGGAATTTTAGCTCGTTGTAAACAACTCAGGAGACAGAGGTGAGTGTAAAGAAAAATGAAAAGCAGTGGTATTCCTAGCAATACTGGTAAGCAGGAATAACATTCCTGAGAATTGTCTATAGTTTGGGACTGTTTTTCCTATACTACCCACAAACACACTTTTATGCTCTTTAAATACAATACAACCATACTTATGTTTATATTCATATATAAATAACATTGCATTATTACATATGGACATTCTATACACAATACATTGTTGTTCAGGTGCTCAGTCCTGTCCAACTCTTTGTGACCCCATGGACTGCAGCATGCCAGGCTTCCCTGTCCATCACCATCTCCTTGCTCAAACTCATGTCCATTGAGTCAGTGATGCCATTCAACCATCTCGTTCTTGTTGTCCCCTTCTCTTCCTGCCTTCAATCTTTCCCAGGATCAGGGTCTTTTCCAATGAGTCAGGACTTTGCATCAGGTAGCCAAAGTATTGGAGCTTCAGCTTCAACATCAGTCCTTCCAAAGAATATTCAGGATTGATTTCCTTTAGGACTGACTGCTTTGATCTCCTTGCAGTCCAAGGGACTCTCAAGAGTCTTCTCCAACACCAAAGTTCAAAAGCATCAATTCTTCAGTGCTCAGCCTTCTTTATGTCTAACTCTCACATCCACACATGACTACTGGAAAAACCATAGCTTTGACTAGACAGACCTTTGTTGGCAAAGTAGTCTCTGCTGTTCAATATACTGTCTAGGTTTGTCATAGCTTTTCTTTCAAGGAGCAAGTGTCTTTCAATTTCATGGCTACAATCACCATCTGCAGTGATTTTGGAGCCCAAGAAAATAAAATCTGTCACTGTTTCCATTGTTTCCCCATCTATTTGCCATGAAGTGATGGGACTGGAGGACATGATCGTTTTTTGAGTGTTGAGTTTTAAGCCAGCTTTTTCACTCTCCTCTTTCACTTTCATCAAGAGGCTCTTTAGTTCCTCTTTGCTTTCTGCCATAAGGGTGGTGTCACCTACATATCTGAAGTTACTGATAGTTCTCCCAGGAATTTTGATTCCAGCTTGAGCTTCATCCAGCCCAGCATTTTGCATGACGCACTTTGCATGTAAGTTAAATAAGCAGGGTAACAATATACAAGATTGACCACACTCCTTTCCTAATTTGGAACCAGTCCCATTGTTCCATGTCCTGTTCTGCTGCTTCTTGATCAGCATATAGGTGTCTCAGGAGGCAGGTAAGATGGTCTGGTATTTCCATCTCTTTAATAAGAATTTTCCACAGTTTGTTGTGATCCACACCGTCAAAAGTTTTAGCATAGAGAATGAAGGAGAAGTAGATGTTCTTCTGGAATTCTCTTGCTTTTTCTATGATCCAACGGATGTTGGCAATTTGATCTCTGGTTCCTCTGCCTTTTCTAAGGATACATAACAAACATCCCAATACATAACAAACATCAATTACACATAAACTATATATCACATATAATTAATATATATTTTTCCAGGAGCGTGTCTTCGAGCCTGTGACGACCCTGGGAATCCCTGAACTCGCCTGCTACTCAGGGGAACCCCACTGCAGCAGTGGCAGAGCCGCGCCCGGCGCCGCGGACTTACACAACTTAACTACAAGTCCCAGCATCCCACGCGCTGGCACGGGTCGGGGGGATGGGACCACAAGTACCAGCAGGCTTCGCGCAGACGCAGGAACCACGAGTCCCAGAATGCACGCTCGAGGCTTGCGCAGGGCCCTCCGGGACATGTAGTCGTCTGTGGCACTAATTCCTATTCATTAGGCCTCAAAGAAAATGCAAATTCCTCGAACGCTCCACCAACGCGACTTTTCATGGGCTAGTGAGAAGCCTGAACTTGTGACAGAGAAGTAAGAAGTTTGGGGGCCAATCTGTGGCGCGGATGCAGGACCCGTGCGCATGCCCGGCGGTCGTCGGCGCCAGCCCAGCGCGCGCGGGAGACTCCGAGCGGCAGGCCCCACCGCCGCGCCCCGCCCCGCGCCTCGCCCCGCCTCCTGCTCCCCCTCCCGGTGAGCCTGCGCAGATGGTGCAGGGCGGAGGGCCGCGGGGAGGGACTCCTGGCGCCTGCGCAGAGCGGCGGCTTCTCTCGCGAGGACGGACGCCATTATCGCATCTCCCCGACAAACACCACGAGAATTCCGCAGCCCACACGGTAATTGCAGCTCCCGCAGCCGGTCGCGTCTCCACCTCCCCCTTCCCGCGGGGCGAGAGCGAGAGCGAGATCTCCCCTCCTCCCTCCTCCCTGCGCCCTCCTCCGGCCGCGGCGCCCGCGCCGCCGCCCCCGCCCCCCCCGACCCGGCGACCGGCCCCAACGGCCCGCCGTCTTGTGCGCCCACGCCTCAGCTCTGTCAAGCCGCCTGCCCGCCGCGCCTCAGCGCACCCGCACCCAGCTCTGGCCGCCCATCCCCCGGCCCGCCGCCCCCGCCGTCGCGGTGCGCGGGGTCCGTCGCGGAGCGGGCCTCCCTTCCGGGACCAGGCCCGCAAGAGCAGCGTCCAGCCGCGGGCGGGCGGGGTGGGGTCGTGCTACTGCTGCGATGTAGCTGCTCCGGGTCGTGAGGCCACGGGCGGGCCGGCGGCTAGGCGGCTCCCCCCCCCGACGGACCCGGGAGGCTGGAGGCCGCGGACTCGGGGACAGCGGCTGCGGGCGGAAGTGCGGGAGGCGGCGGTTCGTGATGGGCGGGCGGCGGGCCCTGGTGAGGGGCGGCCCTGGGGACCCCTGCCCGGTGCTCGGAATTTCCGAGCCGCCGGTAACTTTAACTCCGTGTGTTTAAGCTCCTTTGCCCCCTTTTGTCTGGTGATTAAAGTAAGCGTGTGCTCCTGGGACGTCGGGTCCTGTCATGAAGGCTCCAATTTTGAGAAAGCGGATGCTGTGTGTGGGTCCAGTGCTGCGGCCGGTCCCACCAGCGTTTCCAGCACTTCTCATCGCGGCGGTCCGGTCAGGTGGACAGGGAGGTGGCTGCGGCCCACGGAGGGAAGGGGCTTCCCTGGGGACACACGGCCAGGTTTGAACGTGATCTGTCCCAAGTCTGTGTTCTGAAAAAATTGCACACGTTTGGTACTTTAATAAAATGATGCCACAAAGTGTCAGTGGAAAACTATAAAACAGACCCTGCCCCACCTCCCAGTTCCACTCCTCCAAGACTTTTATCTTTTTGCTGTTTCTTGAGGAAGTTCTCCGTAGCTATAAATAATAAGCTGGCGCTTCACTGGTTTTATACATTCCTGACTTGCTGTTAACAGATAGGATGGCTTAATTTTTCATATTGCACCTCACCTCTTCTATCCCCTGAATTCATTATGTTTAGTTAGTTCAGGTTGTTTATAACTAAGCAGATATTGCTTCACAGCCAGGTAGTGTATTTCCCCTGTTATACGGGTTTTTGCTTTTTTCTGTTGTTCGTGATGGCCTTTCTTTTTGTTTGGTGTTTCTGTTGACTCTTTACCTTTTTTTTTTTTTTTAACTGCTCCCTGAGGCATGTGGGATCTTAGTTCTCTGGGGATTGAACCTGTCCCCCCTGCAATGGAAGCATGGAGTCTCAACCCCTGGACTGCTAGGGAAGTCCCACTTTACCTTGTTTTAGATTCTGAAGGATAGCACTAAATGTCTTACCGTCCCCCTCCTCAGCCTTGTGGTGTCCCTTTTCTAATCTGGATTGTTTACTCCTTAGACCAGCACCGGTATCATCCTGACATTTTCTTTTACTATACAACTGAGTTTGTTCAGGTCTCATGTTTTAATCTTGACTTCCTTTATTTCAATGAGAACCTACTGCCAAGTAGCCTTATTCCTTTTGGATAATTCTTCAGGATCCTCTTTGGTGTTAAGACATTTCTGGAATTCCCCAAAAATGTAGAGTCCTTCTCTGAATTTGCTTTCTGACTCTGGGAACTTGTCCTTCAGCTCTGGAATTTGAAAGTCTCTTGTGTCACTTGAGAATGTCTTCTGCTCTGCTTTTGGTGGTGGCTTAGTCGCTAAGTTGTGTCCGACTCTTGTGACCCCATGGACTGTAGCCTGCCAGGCTCCTCTGTCCATGGACTCTCCAGGCAAGAATACTGGAGTAGGTTGCTATTTCCTTCTCCAACTCTGCTTTTACTCTTCTGTTTAGGAGTTTCTGTTAGTTGGATGATGGACATCTTGGATTAACCTTCCGAATCTTCTGTCTTTATCCTCTTCCTGTGTCGTCTTATTCTTGTTTCTGGGATAGAAACATTTATCCTCCAATCCTACTTTAAAATTTTTTATTTCCACAATCAAAGTTTAATTTCTAAGGATTTATTTTGTTCCTTTTTCGTAATATATTGTTTGATGAATGCATTATCTCCTTGACTTTGAGGATACTAGTAAGAATTTTTTTAGTTCTCTTTTGTTCTCTAATTTTTTTGTGTCCTAGTCTGTCACTGTTTTTCTCTTTTTAAAAAGGCTGGCTTTTTGCTTTGTGTGGCAAATACTCTTCAAATACTGGCAATTGTTGTCTAAGGCCAGAGGAGGCAGGCAGAGAACTCATGAGTTTCAGGCGCTGATTTTTTTTGGTCACACCCACATGGTGGCTTAGGGAATTTTTGTTCCTCAACCAGGGATTGAACCCGGGCCCACAGCAGTGAAAGCATGGTGTCCTGACCTCTGGACCACCAGGGAATTCCCCTGTGGGACTACTTTTGAAAATATGCAGGTTACCCATTAGGTTTTGGGGAACTTTGTTGGGCTGGGACCTCAGATGTCAGAAGATGGATTTTCTCTGGGCCTCTCAAGCTTAAGGAAGATGCCTTTGACTGGGGGCTGCTCCACTTGGTCTATGGAGGGCCCTTGTACAGCTCTTCGTACAGGGACCTGACTTCCATGTGTAGGCACAGCCCTCGCCCTCTCCTGGTTTGGAGTCTTAGCCTTTACAGGCTTGGAGGCCTCCTTTGTTGTATGCACTCCTGTGTGCTCCGATTACTGTTTCTTCTTCCCCCATTAATCCTCCTTCCTGGTCTGCCAGAAATTTGCAGAATCTCTTGCACATCTTATATTCTTTCTTGTGGATTTATTATATGATACTAAAAGTCACTTTAATGGGATGAGCAAAGTTCACCTCTGAGGCCAGTTGCTCTGTGTGAGTAGGTATTCCAGCATCCCTTCTCATCACCCTGCTCTCCTGCCTCCCATTGACTGTGGTAACAAATGCCCAGTGGCAGTGGGATGACTGGCCATATCTCGGTCCCCATGGCCTCCTCTGCATTGCACTTGTGGGCGGATGGTGTATATTCCCCCTGGATTTTCTCCTGGCTCCAGAGCTGTGGAGGGGTGCCAGGCTTAGCTGGTGTTAGAGCAAAGATTGTGGTTTTAGCCTCTGCAGGGGGCTTGCCTTGTATCACTGGGCCAGAGTTTAAGGATTGCCTCTAGGCAAGTGGTGATTACTATGCTGGAAGTGTAACCTTGATGCATTTTAGCTGATTGTCCTTCAAAAGCTGTGAATAGTGAAATATACCAGTTGTTTTTGCCAGGGCCTTGCTAGTGGAGGCAGAGGCATTGCCATTGCTGGGGATTTGTGAGAAACATGGACTCTCAAACCCTGTCCAGATGTATGGAATCAAAATCTTCAGCTTTATAAACTTTTCCTTTTGAAGGAACTTAAAGTCACTTCCCTTAACATTGACACCTTACATTATCAGATATCTTCATGAAAATCAGAAACTTAACTTTGTCACAGTACTGTTAGCTGAAATGTGGACCTTGCTGAACTTCCATCAGTTTTCTACTAATATCCTTTTTCTGTTTCAGGATCTAATCCAGGACCTCACTCCGCATTTATTTGTCATGTCTCCTTTAGTCTCTTCCAATTTGGGATTTTTACACATCTCTCCCAAAATGTTTATAAATTGCAAAGGAAGAATTATAACCTCACAGTGGAAAAACCTGGCATCTCCAGTAAAAAGACAATGATACCACGTTCCTTAATGATATGCATTGAGACAGAAACACATACATGAAGTCTAGTCATGAGAAAACCCAAATTGAGGCACATGGTGCCAGAATCTTGACTGGTGTGCCTCAGAAACGTTCCAGGTGTGGACAGATAGCGAAAGATTCAGAATTAGCAGTTTAAAAGATTGTCAGGTATAGTACATGCACTTGCTGAAGAAATACTTCCTGTGCTAGATGGTCCACAAAGAGCTAAGAGAGAATGACCCACCAGCCTTGTTTGGTGGGTGGTAAATGGGTCTGCCTAGCGCAGGCTCTAGGTGAGTCTGTGTAAGCAGATCATTGATAACGCCCTTATAGCTTACTAGCCTTAGTTTTTCCTTACGATCTCATCTACACTATAAATTCTGAAGACTTTAGCTGTACAGTTAAATACATGATATCATAATGCCAGACTGACTTTAAAATGTCCTTGTGACTTTACCACTTTTAACTATTTAAATCTGGAAAAAATAAGCATTTTCTCATTTTGAAGAAAGGAGTTCTGCGGGTAATGTGTATTAAGGTTCTTATTGAGAATGTCTTAGAAAAATGTGTAAAAAGCCCTCCCTTGCCAAGAGGAGGATAAAGATCATTATCGTGTCCTCTGACTTCACATACTTGATGGTCAGAAAAACAAAAGCACATAGTGAATTGTTCATTGGAGGTGCCTTGAACTATTCTGAAATGTTCATTGGAGTTTGAAGGAATTTGACAGCAACTGTTGGGTCCTGTGGTTGCAAGTTGCTCTTAAAAAGTGACAAGTGCTTCTTATTCAGGGATAGGACCTGGAGCTCACTTAACTGCTCAGAAGAATAGACTTCTAACATCAACCCTCCTTTCAGAGTACTTTTAAGAATTCTCAGCCCTTTGGTTTCTCACTTTTTTGTAGTTTGTGAAACCAGTTTAAAATGAGAGCTTTAGCTAAATCATCTCATCTTATGCCATCTGCCTTGCTGTCGGCTCTGTCTGTGCCCAGCCTACCTCCTGGGAAGACGGGGCTGTCTTCAGATCTAGAGGGCATGCTCTTGACTCCATCTCATCCCCTAGCCTCCCGCCCCAGGAAAGCATCCCTTCACCATAATAGTACGTCTTCCCGGGTATGTCTTAAGAGGAGGCTGAGCTTGGGATGACCACCCAGGGCCTACCCCTGTTTGAAACCCGTGGATGCTTTTGATTTAAACCGTGATGGAAACCTTAACTTCCCAAGC